TGGCTGCCTTAAGGCGCAGCGGAGCCCCGGTCCCTGCAATGACTTAACCCTGCACGCCCGTCACTGCCGGGAGAGCCAGCGGAATGGGTGCTCCGACTGCGGGTCTTTAAAAACCCCTATTCCCAGGGCCCGTGCCCATCTTGGCAGCGGACCGCATCCTCCCGCGGAGTCTGCGTTTGAATGACTCAGCGGTATCCGAGGCTGTGTGGGTTGGCAGGCGCTCAGAAGGTGGCCCTTTTGTGCGAGGACGGTTAGGTCGGGCCCGTCTATTTGCTTCCTTTAAGGTCGCAGGGGAACTGATTTGGGGAAAAATCTCTGGTTGTTGCTCCCATAGATGTCTGCCTTAGCTGGTTCTCCCTTAATCGAGTTGACTTTTGGTCCTCATAGCATTGGGTTTGGGAGGCAAAGGTTCGGAAGCCAGTGGGTTTTTTTTTTTTTTTTTTTTTTTTTTTTTTTTTTTTTTTTTCATTCTGTTAGGGTTGGGGCGGGGGGCAGGTGGCGGGGGAAGTGCCCCAAGACCGGCCTGGCCCGGGAAACAAGGTCACGTTCTCTGCGCAGCAGCGGGGCTGCCTCGTTCTTGGCTCCGGGCTGTGGGGGCAAGCAGCTTCCTCCGCTGCTTATTCTGATCAGCTTGTCATTAGACACAGTCAGGAAGGCCCGGGCGTTTTTCTCTCGGTTTTTGGACCCTGGTTAATGTGATTGAGGAGGAACAGAAAGGGTATCTTTCTGCATCCGGGCGTTTTTTCCATCACCATCCCCCCTCCCTCCCCCGAGCCCCCGTCACTTGCCCGGTTTTTCTCTCCTGTGGGCTACACAGCCCGATTGGAAAGCAGAAGACTTTTAAGTGCGTTAGAGGGGGCAATAACCTTTATATTTTGGAGATGAAGGAGCAGAAACTTTAGATTGTAATCTCTATCTTCAGGCAGGGACATTAAGATCCATGTTGCACATAATTTACAGGTAAAGGAATTTCGATGATCTGATGTTGCTTTCTTGACCCAGCAGGTATGCTTAGGCCTCCTTGCGGATCCTTATCTAAATGTCATGATCTCACAGCCACCAGGGCAATCTGGTAGAAACGCGGAACAGCCCTTTTCCTCTAAGGACAGTCCTTTTCCTATAAGAAAGAGGAGGCGTGAGGGCTGTACCATTCTCTGGAAATTGCACACCAAAAAGGATCCTTCGCTTATTGCTTTGCTGGTCTCTGGCTCCTTTTGGCTTCAAAAGTTTCTCCCAAATCGGGTGATACTCCACTCTCCTATAATAACATCTAGAAGTGACAGTTAACTGTATTGATAGTTGGCCGTGTACCTGAGCATTTTCTGCCTGTAGTCATTCACTCTGTCTTAATCATCCGCCCACCATTATAATCCCCATTCTACAGAGGAAGACTGAAGCGCTCAGATAAATGAAGTAACTTCCTAAAGGCTTCACACAGCTGGTCTGTTGCAGACCTTGGATTGCAGCCCTGCTTTGGGTCCTTCCTGCTATAATGCTCCTCCGTGTCTAATACAATTCTATCAGAATTAAGTGTGTGCACTGTGTACCTCACACTATTAGGTACTGGATGTAGAGAATAAACTGTTGCTTCCATCAAGAGTCCAGGGTAGTATGAAGCTCTGTTCTTAGTAGCTCTGTGTAAGTTACCAACTCTGAAATGTACCTGTTCCTAAATCTAGTTAAATTTCCTATGTTTCCTTAACATTGAGATCCATCCCATTTCCATTTCCATGCATTCACCTGGAATGTTTCAGCTAATTCTCCCTATTCCCTTCCTGCTGCGTTTGGTATTAAATTTTCACAAAATGGTATAATTTGTAAACTATTTGGACCATCACTCAGACCTCATCATCCCTCCAGTTAAGTTTTAACCAGTTATGAGCTTCCCAGCTGCTCCTTAGGTCCTCAGCCTGTGACCTTCTTTCTAGCTGTGACGCAGGAAGAAGAGCTTTGCTGAGTTCTGAGGTTTGATTCCAGTTTGGGGTAGAACCCTGAATCTTGTTAAAGTGTTCTGCTTACCAAATAGAGGGTTAGAGTAAATTATTTCCAAACCCCCTTTCAGCTCCACCATTGATGGGTGGTGGTGAAGCAGCCACGTACCCTGACTGCTCACATAACTCAAGCTTAGCCCCAGCAGAGTCTTGAGCTGCCAAACCTGAATAGGAGTGATTGTGCCTTGAGAGAGAAGGGTTTCATGGGTTCTTAAAATGACCTTAATAGCTACAGTGTGTTGAAAACCTGTGACATTTCAGGAAACTGTTAGGCACAAGTTGTCTATTTTTTTTTTTTCATTGTCTATTTTTTAAATACATGGACAGCCCCAAGGAGTACTAGCCACATTTCATTTCACAGAAGAGAAAAACATGAGCAAAGCCTCTGGCCCGGAGCTCACTGTAAGAGAGTAGCAGAGTTGGGATTCTTGGAAACCTAAACATTTTCTGGTAAAGCAGTGCTTTACTCCTCTCCTTCCTTTTCCTCTCCAAGTCCTCCCACCTAACCCCCCTAGCAGATGTCTTCTTTGCAGTTGGCTTTTTTTCTGCTTCCTTGTTGTGGTTTCCTTCTTTTATTAAAAAAAAAAAA